CCAGTGGATGAATTTGATGACAATGTTCGCCGGGACTCCGAACAATACCTACAGTTTGCAACTCTCCGCATCATCGAGTTCATGGACTACCACGGAATCCCGCGCCAAGGGCACTATCGAATCTTCACTGACCCTAGTTCACTAACTGAACTACAACCTGGACCTCGTCACATAGCATCCAAATGGGATTTCACATGGTCTATGAACATGCAAGAGATCAAGCAAGTCGTACAGATACTTGATAAATACAAGAATGGCCCTGTCGTTGACTGGAAGGGACGCGGCAACGATGTGTATAACTTGATGGATCGCCATATCAAGCGTCTTCGCAACGACCTAAGCTCTGCTAAGCCGCTTCCAAAGATCTACGGATTCGACGATCTCGTAAACTTTCACAAATCCGAACCCCCAAAATGGCTTGTGGGTGGAGGTCTCACCGAATTTGCCAAGTATCAGGCCAGCCATGCTACCAAAGGTGCTGACGTTATGGGTGGGTATATGAATGGAGACAGCAACATCTTCGAACAACAGACGAACTTCAAGTTCGACCCGCAATCGGCGTGGAAAGCTCTCGAACACGCAACGAAGGATGCACCTGTCACTCTGTTCATTACGGAGTTCTGCAAGCAGAGTACCTGGGTGCTGAAAAGTCAAGACATCCATGATAATCTCAAACAGGATGGGGCACTTATTGACTGGTTCAATAAATATTACATGTACGATCTTCTCTCGAACTCCGCGGCGTGGCAGGATAACGGTGATCAAGGGAAAAAAGTCAGCATACCTACATTCGATCTTGTTACCGGGCTGTATCATTTCCGACCTGATCTCTTTCCCAAACCTGTATCAGTGCGGCCGTACCAACAAAGGAGCAATGATACAGGAGAACTGCTTATCAAACTCGAGGCTGGTGGAACCGGCGCTGTGCTGGCGATGTGGCAGGATGATAAGATGGCCCAACCTCCGGAGGTTCGCGATGCTTTTATGAAAGTCCTAGCTCACGTCTTCCAACCGGCAAACTCGACGCACAGACCTCCGATGCCGGCGGTCATCAAGGCAAAATCTGCGTCGGGTCATCAGAAGAGGCATCTTACTGAACGGCCGACTAAATTCGCTCGTCGCCATTGGAAGGAGTTGCCGAATTGATGTAAAGACTAGGAATCAGCTAAGCTGCTGGATGGATCAGATCTGATGAATGAGTAGGCTCTGTGCATGTGGCGAGGAAGAGCTATTGATCTCAAAGTGGCTAAAAGACACATAAGTACCAAAGCTCTGCAACAATGAGGAAACTTATGCTTGACTTCAATTTGTACAGAGTCTACTATGTAAATGGATGAATGTGGGAGTTATACTACCACTCTGAGTATTTTAAGCTGCATGTAGCATTGCATCGAGGCCTTGCTGAAACTTGCTAAGACTGGGATTAGAATCTGCTCTTGCTTATTTCTGGACAGATTAGGACAATAATGCCTTGACACTTGTCTCACACCAAGTAGTAATGATACGATGGATCGGTCAGCGCGAAAGCGGCGCGGGGACACGTGACCTTGCCAAAGTGAGCACCCTCACCCGTACCTCCGAGGATAAGCACCCGCAACATTCTACCAATCACTTCGCGTCCCAGCCATCTCAAGGATTGAAACTCGCCTGTATCCTTCGGCATTCCCCAAAAGACGATGCTGCACCCTCCTCCGATCCTTCACTTGTAACACAGGGCGATGCACCCAAGCTACCGACAACCATTTCGTACTCTTAATACAACTCCCACTACACAAACTTGCTACGTTGCCGCCCCTCTTTTTCGACGATGTAAATTGCTGAACAGAGCTTCAGAGGGTTAAATGCGTACATCGAACTACGCTCATGAACTGGGCTCAAAAAATCACTAGGAGATTGAATGCAAAGACCTGGGTAGTGGAGGTGCGTGTCCGAGGATGTCGAATTGATACCACGGCATGATGTCGCTCTGAATTTTTGCCTCAAACGCGCCAGTCGACCCTTTACAGTCAGCAGCAGCTATGGTGATGATATTTTCAGCACGAAAGGCAGAGCATGCATCATAGACTAGTAAGTAATGGCAGTTATGACATTATACTCGTATAGATGGGAGGGGCCCCCAAAGACTGGTGGAGTACTCAGGGCGACGCTGTGCGCAGTGATTGTGGACAAAAGGGGTGCTGTGCCCGATGCACTCGTAGAATAAAGTAACAATCCAAGTTGCTTTCAAAGATACTCATTTGGCATCCACAGAAGTCCGATCGCTTCCCGTTCGTGGTTTCGTTCCAGTACCGACAGGACCTCTAAAAGCGGGTTCTATTCTCCGGAAAAATAGTACACTGCCTGAGAAATGTCTCGATCTAGCCCCCAAGTATTGCTCCTAGTAATGCTACGTACTCTCCCAAGAAATCGTCAATGCCGTATCATCACTCGTGGTATAAACCGTCGCCTGAGCGCTTCCAGTAGGCGCGCTGTCAGCATAGAAGCTTGTACTGCCACTTACGGCGAGCATGCCCCCGCTGCTTGTGAAGACCGTAGCAGTGACACCAGATCCACACGTCAAAGCATTGTTCGAGATACCACAACTGCCCCTGGAGGATTTCAGGGTGAATCCGTGACCTAGATAGAGATCAGAGTTAGCAGCTATTCGCACCTTGACAGCTTGACGGGACAATGGATCATACCACTTGCAACTGCCGTAAAGGTCGCACATGTGCCAGTTGTATACCACTTTCCGGCACTGATAATGCAACCGTTCTGATCACCTCCACTTTGGACATTTAGATAGCCCTGGCCACTAAATGACGTAGCAGTCGGCGCACTACCATTGGATGTAGAGCTAGTCCTGGTGCTGGAAGATGTGCCAGTCGCTGTGCCTGTACTTATTGTCGTCGAGGCACCCGATTTGGGCAAGTACTTGACACCGGTTGACGGGCAGCTCGACGTGTCACCACCATCAGGATCGCTTGCCTGGAAGGTGCCATTTTGGACTGAGCCCTTGACGTTGAAGTAGTAATAGACTTGGTTGAGGGCGCCGTTGCTGCATCCGAGGTATACGTCGTGTCCGCCATGGTTCGAGCTAAGAGCAGACTGGATGGCGGCCGTGGTATAGGTCTTGGAGGAAGAAGGAGTGATGCCCGCTGCCGAAAGCCACTTGTGGATCATTTCAGCGGATGCGCTATATTATAGGTTGTAAATCGAAGGGAGTGGTTTTTACCTCGTAAGTGGGCAGCTCTTGAAAAAGATCCACAACCTTTTGGAAAAAATCCGGAATCTCTTGCTTAGACACGTAGTTTGTATAGCAAGACGTATCGAGAGTGCTAATGCAAGTCCCATGCGTGGACCATTCGTGCTCCCACAATTCCTCGTCAGTTCCGTCTTGGTTCTTCCAGTACGTATTCATATACGTAACGAGTGCCTGCTTGCCAAAGGAGGTCAGGATTTGCGAAATACCGGTGTAGTCGCGGCTCGAATCGCAATTCTCACTGTATCCACCATCACAGTGATCCGGCCTGGGGATTATCAAAATGGTAAGTTAGAGCAGAGGATTTTTGACTGAAAACGCACCACAAGCCATGAATAGTCCAGGAATTGGCTGGACCAGTGACAGGGTCAGTATCCCAAAACTGCGTCTGTAACAACGAACCGCCCGGCGCATTAAAGCAACAAAGATTCGATTGCACTGTAGTGTTATGACAGCTTAATTGAGTGTTTGTACATGTCTCCGGTTCTCCTCTTCTGAAGAGACTGAGGTAGCCAGAGGCTTCGCCAAGGGCCGGCTGTGCAGCCGCAAGAAAGGAAAGAACGGTCACAATCATGATGATGGCCGCAACACTTGGGATTAGATGCGAAGAGATTCCAGTGCATTTGCACCTACATAAAGGCAGCTGGTAATTTCAGGCGCCTTCCGAATACGCATAGTCATCCGAAGCACGTCCACTTCGCCGTGACACGCATGCAGCATTGTTACCTTACCTTCCTTTACGGTGCGCACGCTCCGTAGGTTTCCAACTCTCAGGCTTGAACGAAGCAGCGAGGTGTGCAAGGTTGGGAACATCAAGCGGCAGCAAAGGGGCTAAGTCATTTTACAATGTGCCAATGAGTGTGGAGCCAAGGCCCAGGTGAGGAAACAGGCGCTGGGATTGCTGGGATCGCGCAGGTCAAACGACGTCGATCCACAAAGCGTGACCCAAGGAATGCTGTAACATGGAGGGACTGAGCAGAACGTGCCCGACCGCCTGGAGCAACGGCGTGGGTGGCGTGGGAGAGCACTGAAAGGTGGCGAGATAAGCGAGAGCGACTGTGGAAGATCACCTATTCCCAACTCGGCTAGAGTATGCTTCTGACCCTTGCCTCCAATTCTTATCTCATCTAGTCCCTTTCTCCTCTCGTACTCGAGAATACATTGCATTTATTATACGTACGGAAGCTTCAATGATCAGAGTCATCTTCGAGATTATTGACTTCGATCGCACGAGTTGACTCGGCTCCCTCCTCATCAATCTGCAACAACAGGATCTCGGTGGGCAGTTTGGTCATAGATTCGGCTTGCACAGGCAGATGCCTCCCCCGGAGAACAATTCCTGCTTGGATTCTGCGAGAAATCCAATCGACGACATCGTCAGGACCTTCGGGATTTCTGTTCAAATCCGCTGCTGGTTCCGAGTTTCCTTCTGCTACTACTTGAGACAGGGTAGGGAGATGCGAACCAGCTTTCCCTTCTACTCTGAGCCGTCGTTCTAATCGACGCATCTTGAGGGCCTTGGGTACTTCCTAATTCTTAACGTCTCCTAAGGAAGCTAAGAAGAGTTAACGTGTAGTATGCAGCGTGAAAAAGGCAGAATCAGAGTCCAGTAAGAAAGGTCTGCAAGAGAACCTTTGCGATAACTTCTCGTTCCGATTGATAATAGTCATGAGTGAGCCAGCGAAGACTTCCATTGCAAATATTGAAGAACATTACGCATAGGCAAGATTGATATCTTCAACCACGTGGTACTGTATCGATATCGATACGGAGAACTCTGACTCTGAGATTGAACTTGTCCCCGGCGCCATTAGATCTTATACGGCTGCCCATGAACATGCTGCAGACATTCGAGCCGTAGCGCAGTTTGAAAGGCTGACATTAGCGGTAGATGGATGGGATCTCAGTACGACTCGGTATCAATACAAACAGCTTATTGCACCTGACGAGTTTCGACTTTTGCGCGTCTATCCTTGGGAGAAACATTCACAGACAGATGATGGCGACTTAATGCTCCGCTGCGAGCTCATCCATGTGAGCCTGAATTCATCGCCTAGCTGTGCTGCCGTTTCATATACCTGCGGGAATCTACTCGAGTATAGTCCAATTTTTCTTCAGGGACAAGATGGACAGCATCACATTATGATCACCAATTCTTTGTTCGCCCTTATCTCCCGATTGAGTAACGACGAGCCTTTAGATATTTGGGCTGATCAGATCTGCATAAATCAGCATGATCTTGATGAGCGAGGCAACCAAGTCAAACTGATGGGACGAATTTTTAAAGAAGCAGAGTACACCTTTGTGTGGCTTGGAGGCTCTGACGAGAATACCGACGTCACCTTCAGTCTAATCGATAAGCTTTCCTGCGATGGCCTTGCTCTGGTTACGGCATTCGATCTGTTGCAACAAGGGGATCTTGATACTCTCCAGAAACTTCTCCGTACCCGTAGCGTCGATTGCGATAATACTAATCCAGGTTGGACCGCGATTAAAAACTTATCTCTGCGGCCCTGGTTCACGCGCCTTTGGACTTTTCAAGAGTTTGTTGTCTCACAGAATGTCGTCTTCTTATGCGGCAGGCATCATTGTTCTGAATCGAACTTGCTTCGAGCATTTTATGCCACCCAATTGGTCCTTAACAATTGGACAGGAGGCATGCTGAATACTCAGTTACTATTTTTACGTAGAAGCCGCTATTTGCAGAAGCTTTATATCCCATTGTTGAATTTACTTTTGGATATCGGTGAAAACGAATACCACTGTACGGACCCCCGTGATCGGATCTATTCTTTGCTTTCCCTTCAGATATCTGATTCACCATGCGTTATCGATGTCAGCTATAACACTTCCATCACCGAACTATTTACGCAGTCTGCGCGAGAGATAATTAAGAGTTTGGAAACTCTAGACGTTTTCTCCTGGAGGCGTTTTAGCATGCTGGATGGCCTTCCCTCATGGGTGCCGGACTGGAGCCGTGGTATGTCAGGGTACCAATCTCTTAACGATAGTCGTATGAGCTTCTCCAGCTCTTGTGGCTTGAAGCACATATTCAAAGAGTCTCCGAAAGAGCTTCTTTTTGTCAGAGGAAAGATTGTTTCAACACTTGCGAGAGTGGCGTCGCACAGATTCTCGGAATATGCAGAGCAGTATAATAATAGAGATCTCGAGTCTTTCCTTGGATCTACTACCCTAATGCCTCAGGTGCTCAAGGCGCTTGATCAAAATCAGGATAAGGATCACTCGAGGATAGAAGGAGAAAGAACGCATTGGATTTGGCTGATTGCAACAACCGTCACCGCTGGACGCTTTGAGCAGGAAGATGAGGCTAGTCTCCACACAGATAAATCTGAATATGGGACTGAGATTGCCGTCGTCATTGAACGTTGTGGTCCTTCATTTGTCCGGTCATTGCGAAAATGCTTCGGAAGGAAAATTGCAATGTTGAACAGTCATGCTAATCCATTAGGCCTCGTTCCTGACTTTTCCCGAGCAGGCGATCTTGTTTGCTTACTGAATGGCTCGACAACACCTATGATTATTAGAGCAGATGGCGATTATTATGAAGTGATTGGAGAATGCTATGTAAATGGGATCATGTACGGTGAAGCTGTAGATTGGAGTCAAGAAGAAGGAGATCTATTTATAATCAAGTAGAAAAGTTTAGACTTTGAGATCAAGGAATGCACACAAGAAGTGCTGTAGAATGATTACTCTATCAGAAGTAACTGTGGGAGTTCCTTCAAATTTCGGAACACTAAAGAGAAAGTCAATCAAGGAAGAAAATAGACGGGTTTCATCATTCCAAGTCCTATTTTCTCTCGCCAAAGTACACCAAATTCTGGTAAAAAAAGATAATCGCGAGGTCTGTATACATCTATACAAGTTTTTGCTACTACAGTATGTCCACGGCGTACAGTCTATATACCCTTTTTCTGCTAAGAGCTTCTGACTTTAAATCCATAAATCCAATTTTTCCAATAATTATTCATACAACATGAACAGAATATGTTAGGGATAGGGAAGTTTAAACTGCAATGATTGGCACAGATCCCCACTAGTCTAGTGTACTAAGGAAACGCCCTCATAGGCTTTCTTCCTTTTCTTTTACTTTTCAGAATTTGCGCTCATGAAAATGTGTCTCAGCACTCACATCAGGCATCGATGGAGACCGGAGAGTACTCCGTAGACGAAATAGCAACGAAGAAGCTTGGTAAGGTAAAAATAAAAATGCTTGAAGCTGCGTGGAGCAGGGATAAGCGGAATTGCAACGGCTGCTCGGTTGTTGTCGTCGCCGAAGCATTACGACCTAACCTATTTCTTAGTAGTCACCGATAGGAACAGAGGTAAAAACGGACTCCAACCTTGCTCATTTTCGGGGACGCCTCTGCCAGCTACACTTGTGCCAGGCAATCATTAGCCCCCTCGTGAATTGATTCTATTTCCAAAGGCGACAGATGACTGCACAATCGATGAGGCCAACAGCTTCTGTGACGTCAACAGTGCTGTTGTCATCTCAACCACACCAGCTTTAGCCTTCAACATTCTAGTTCAATTTCGATTGGCTCTATGGCCAACTTCTCTTCAGGACTAATCTTTCTCTTGGAAGCTTTGTGAACGAACTGAGTCAGTCTGTCACTTTCACAATCCGATGGAGACCTTTTTGAGGTTTGAGCTGAATGACGTCCCATGTGGCCAACATCGCATTTCAAACTTCAAACGTAGAGTCTAAGGAGAAACCCCCCCCCTCTCTTGCACCTTTTTTACCTGAAGAAGTTAAAACCAGTGTCTTGACACTCAGTTCTGACAACATGCTGTAACTGGACTCTTGGCGAAAGTGTAGGCCTTAAGGCTACTGGAGACCTCTGGTGAGGGACCTCTGGCGAGCAATCTACTGCCTAGAAGCCGAAAAACAGTTACCATTTCGACCTCACACAGGAAGAGACTTCCCAGGCCGAGAGATATGTCGAACGATGTCTTAAAATACTTCAAGGATGGCAGTCTGACCACTCTTACCGGAGATCTGCTCACGTAGACAAGCCATCGACTATGACACCGAGAATGAACTGAATCATGATACCGTGGTAGACAGGCCGTATTTCAAGAAAGGTCGACCGCACGCAAGTGGCCTACAGTAACCATGCTTTGTGTTCAACTGCTGAGTTTTTCCTACAATACTGCTGCCTCGAGCCCTAACATTTTACCAGTCCTCGGACGTAGAGTGCTCCTCTGGTTTCCTTTGATGACAGCTTCAGCTAATTGGCCTCTAAACCGAATGGTCCTACGACTGACTGACATGGTCTCTTGCTGGACTGGGGCTGAGCCGTGAGGGTCGCTTGATTATGTGATGGTCAGTGTCAACGATCAAGTGCGAGTATGCCCTACGGGCGCTGAGTTGTAGGCGACTGAGCATACCTTCGGTCTCGTAGTAGGTACACTACTGACTGGAGGCAAGTCAATTTTCGATCACCGTGCGCACTGGAGTGCCGAGCCGAAAATCTATCAATCCGGGATACCAAAAAGCCTAATAGAGAAAGATCGAACCAAGTTTGCAGCAACAGCATGATTATTCCGACTTTTTGACAGGTGTGATTCTTGGTTGAGACATGAACGATTCACAGATCACACACTTAATCAGGCCCTAAAATGACATTGGTGGGATTTCATGTTGATACGGCCTAAGCAATTTCTGGGTTTGCCTCATCCAACGAACGCTCAAATGCTACTTCCTGAATCACAAACTTTGGCCTAGCCTCTCTCTGATTGAGGACGTTGCTGGCAGAACCTGCCTTATTGCGTGTCGCTTGCTCCAAAATAGTCGACATCTCGCCAAGACAAATCCCACAGTTCCTATTCATGTACAAATCATACATTACTTTATCACTACATTGATTGAACACGGCATTCTCGAGGGCTCTTCCTCTTGATTCCCTTGTCACCGCACGTTTCCCGCGAGCTCGCTTCCCCCTCGAATGATGGAAGAGTCCCGACCAGCAGCTCTATCTAATTACCAGCAAACAACCAAAAGGCTCGATGCTATCCCCACAAACCCCAAGGTTTCTGTCTATACACAGGACTATCCATACCTTGAGGTCACTATATGGGTACCAGAAGAGCGCTCAAATGAACATGCCAGCTCTGTTAGCTTTCAACGTGTCCATGCGTACGCCTTCAATGATCCGACCAATATGTGGCACGTAGTCTGCACTCGGAAAGTAGCAGATCAGTGCTACTTTAAACGTTTCCCGAATCACGTCACTCCACAAGTTTGGTCCGCCGTTGATCAAAACAATATTTTGAACGCGTACCCGACAGCGATGCAGCCACAGACAGACCTGATGTACTCCTCTCAAGATGCCCATTTCATGGATCCAATTCCTCCAGAACATATTTATCCGGTGCTTCCAAGAGACTGTACGGAGGCCACTATGGACGGTCTTCCTTCCGAATACTTTTTGAAGTACCCCAGTTTAGTGACCTATGATCCGGCTATACATGTGGAAAACGTCCAGCCCATGCTCAATAACATCACCATGTTTGAGTTCTTCCGGAAACACCCTCACCCCAACGTCGCTCGATACTACGGCTGTGTCTCCACCAGACTCCCCTGCTTCCTCTGCTCTGGCCAGGACAACCATATCCGTGACAAACAGACCCTCGCCATCACCTGCCCTGACTGTACCTACCGTCCTGGAGACTGCGAGGAACCAGGCCACGTCTGGTCTCGCGACTACATCACTGCCCTTCGCTGTCGTTGCGCCGACGCCCCGCCCTTTCGCGTCCGCTCGCTCGTGCTCGCACACCATCCCGTCTCCTTCAAGCAGCGCTGGACGGCGGGTGCCCCTATCAAGGACCAACAAGACCTCGAGGACCGTAAGGTGGTGCTCACGCAGGTCTGGTCCACAATCCAACGGATCTGGCAGATGGGGTTCTGCATCAATAATCTGACTCCGGACTCGATTATGTTGACCGAAGGGGGCGAACCAATCATCACAGACTTCGGCGAGTGTTTGAGGCTGGGAACACCGTTGCCGGGGACCCGGAGGTACGAGTGGGCGTACCCAGGGAGCTCTGTCTGGAAAGATGCAAAGCTGTTTGGTTTCCGGGATTTTTCGTGCAAGGAAAATGACGTGATTGCGTTGGAGCGGTTGAAGAAGTATCTGGGATGTTATCAGAGGAAGGCTTAGGGAAAGAGAAGCAAGCACATCTCCTTCGTATCTTCGAACGGCATTTAGCGAGTGGACGGAGACACGCAGTACGGTTGACCATCCCGTATAGTGGTTTTGGGGGACACATCGCCCTGTATTGACAAAAGGCACCGTCCAAGCTGTAGGATATTCTAGACCGATCTTTTCATCTTTGTCGAAATTTTCTTTTTGCCTATCTAGCCCTCATCTCCTGCTGTCCATCGGTTCCGAGGACATTCTCCACACCTTCTTTCTCAAACACTACTTTTATTGCCTCAGTCAATATACTCATGCCTTCCTCGATCTGCTCTTTCGAGACGACCAGCGGTGGCACAAATCTCAACGTGTTTGTTCCTGCCGTGATTACCAGCAATCCTCTTTCCCTGCAAGCCGTTACTACGGGCGCCGGATCCTGACTCAACTGCAACCCCAACATTAATCCCTTGCCTCTGACCTCCTGCACAATCTCAGGATACCTCTTCTTCAGCCCTTCAAAATGCCTTCGAAACACCTTTTCCTTTTCTAACACCCCTTTCTGCAACTCCTCATCTGCTAGCCGCCCCAGCATATAATGCGCAACACGACATGCCAACGGATTACCCCCAAACGTCGTCCCATGATCCCCCGTCACCATCCCATTGCTCACCCTCTCACTCACTAAAGTCGCGCCAACGGGGTACCCATTGCCTAGTGCCTTCGCTGTCGTCAGTACATCCGGTTGGGCCTCCACAGGGATCCCGTTCGCGGGGCCGTGTGCCCAGAAGCTGCCGGTGCGGGAGAGCCCGCACTGGATCTCGTCGTAGATGAGCAGGGCGCCAACTTCGTCGCAACGGCGACGTAGCGCGGTGAGGAAGGCGGGCGTGGCGACTTGGATGCCGCCCTCACCTTGAATGGGCTCGACAAGGACGCCGCAGGTATTTTCGGTGATGAGGGTGTTGAGCGATGAGGTGTCATTGAAGGTGCCGTATTTGAAGCCTGGAAGCATGGGCGCAAACGGGCGTTGATATTTGGGATTGGGGGTGGCGGAAAGGGAGCCCATAGTCCGGCCATGGAAGGAGGATTGGAAGGAGACGATTTTGTGTTTGGAAGAATGAATGGGGTCGGAACTGGAGCTTATGAGTGAGGTAGGAGAAGAGGACAGAGAGGGCGGCGGCGAGATTTGGGAGCCGATTTTGCGGGCGAACTTGATGGCAGCTTCGTTGGCTTCGGAACCAGAATTGCAGACAAACGCTCGAGAGGCATTTTGCATTGCACCAGAGGAGACAGTAAGATCGATGAGGAGTTTAGAGAGGGACCCGATCCATGGGTTATTATATAGGTTGGAGGTGTGAACGAGGGTCGAGGCTTGTTGCGCTATGGCATTCGCAACGCCTGGGTCGCAATGACCGAGAGCATTGACCGCAATTCCAGCAGTCAAGTCGAGATACCGACGATTCTCCACGTCCCAGAGGTAGCAACCCTCTCCTTTATGGAACATTGGTGGCGCCCGCACGTAAGTTGGAACCATGTATGGCTTTTGGTCTCCTACCAATCGAGCTGTTTGGGAATCGGATGGAGGGTCAGGAGTGGCTAGGGAGGCCTCCTTCTGTTA